TTTTTTTTTTTTTTTTGGCTCTTATTTATGAGAATTTGGCTATATGTGTAAACAAAATTTTTCATGAAATATCCTTAAAGAATATGTTTTTAACATTGTAAATATGATCCTATCAACAGGGCATAAGCAAGGGAATAGTGGCAAGAAATCTCATCTCGACCATGACGGATCGAAAGAAACCGCCGGACTTTGTCCTCTGCATCGGAGACGATCGATCGGACGAAGACATGTTCGAGACCTTCATGGAGTCTCCTAAGAAACCTTCCTTCCCTGTAATCTCTGAGGTCTTTGCATGCACGGTTGGGAACAAGCCGAGCAAGGCAAAATACTACCTTGATGACACGGCCGAAGTCATTAAATTGCTTAAATTGCTTCAAGGTCGTATGACTCCTTTTTCACAGCCGCAGAGAACAGCTCCAAATCTTCATCTTCTGTTTGAAGGTTCTCTAATGTCGGATCAACTTTAGAGGATTTAAATTAAGTTTGATGATTATACATATGCATATATAGACACACCAATGCCCTCATTTTTACATGAAAATTGTAGATTTATAGTTTTAATTGAATGAATCAAATCTATTTCTTGTATTTAACAGAAATTACAGCCTCTGTTTTGTTGTAGATTTTAATTTTGATCTATTCTTATCAGTGATTTGGTTGGTTTTACTTGTGATTTAAACTATGAGAAGTAATGCATAATTGTATATCAAAATACAGTTAAACATAATTTGAGAAAGGTTTATACATGGGTAAGGAGTGGTAATCAATAGACTTTAGGGGCCTCGGAAGCCCATGAAGCAGGCTAAGCTCGACTGTCGCCGACCTACATAAGTGATCGGCCTAAGCTCACTTGCCAAAGTGGTCTGACCAGCCTGGGGCAAATCCGCTAAAAAAGAAAAACATCATCGAACAATTGTATGTTTTCATTCTTATTTATAGTGTCGTGTGACACGCATATCACAATCTTTTCACCAAGACATTGTGAAAAAACGTGATATTGTACTTATCTAATTTTATATTTATTTTTAATAAATAAGAGGTCCACCTAAAAAATGGTATCCTCTCTCTAAACTATTTTCTCGAAGCCATTTCTTAAGGATCGGGAAAGCAGCAAGAACAAAAACTCTAGCAACACATTCATCATTTTCTTTCATCTCTCTCTTAAACATAGGGTCTTATATGAGCTCCTGAATAATACGAGATCTTACGTTCTAAAAAAATTTTGGTTTATCCATAATGATTGACTGATGAGGTTGTTTGGTCAACTATTTGTTTATTTGCAAGTAATGAGAAAAAAAAATCATGTGGCATGTGGATAAGACCAAAAATATAACTTGGATCACCATTACATCGACTTAGGGGAGTTAAATATTCCCCATTGACCAACTTCATAAAGGCATTTTTATATAGAAAAGAGATGATGGAGAACATTTCTGATGAATTATAGCTATTTCTGAGACGCAGTGTGAGCAAAAAATTGTATAAAAATATTCGTATAAAAATGTCATGAAAAATAAAATAAAATTAGAATATAAATAAATATTTAATGAAATAAATAGTATATTTGTGAAAAAGCTACGGAAATGTGGGCAGAAACGTAACGTCGCCGACTTTTTGTTATTAGGATAAGATTTCTTTCAACAAAATCGCTGCATGCGTTGCCAACTCATGCATATGATTTAGCCGCTTATATATATATATATATATTGTAAAACAAGCAAAGATATGAGAGCTAATTCAACTAGGCCATGACCTGCTAAGTTAGAAGTTAGACGAAAAGCCTATTGAGCAATCCAAGAATAAGTCATCTGGCCGGAAAGAGGACAGGATACCGTTCAGGCTATTCACTGTAGAAAAGCCGAGTCGATGTGATAGTCTATCCTGCAGTAGAGCCAACCCAACAAAATAATCTTTTCCACAAAGTATCTACGATCATCCAATGGAGACCCAAAGCCTATTCACCAGAAATTGAAGACAGTCAACAAGTCCGTATCAACTGACTGATCCCATTGATCGAGTTGATGCAGTCAAACCTAAATTAGTTAAGCTTAGCTGATCGAGTCAGTAAGACATCAAGACAATGAGCTCTTACTTATAAACACCAGAAAAACAGAAGTACCCGAGTACAAATCCTCTCCAAATAGGGATAAAAATATAATATTATTATTGTATTATCTCCTCTATAAAAAATAAAAAAAATATATTTTATGAAGAAATTATTGTTCATCTCTCTCTCTCTTTCACCTCATTTAAATTCTATTTCTTCGATTTGGTTCAAGGACAATCTAACATCAATAATGATATTATATTCTATTAAATAATGTCGGTGGTTGGATTAAATCCAATGGCTGAGAAGACACCCCATGCATATTGTTTGTGCCAATTGGCAGGGAAAATGTACCTGAGAGAATAATGACTTACATATTTTATTTAGAGATTTTATGTCTATTTATAATATAATTATTAAATTTTATATATTTATATAAACAAAATAAGTAGATATTAGCAATGAATTTGGATATTTCATTACAAATTTGACAAAGAAACATAAATAGAAGACGCTTTGTTTAAAAAGATAATATTAAAATGTTCCACAGAGAACTCTTCTTATTATTATTATTATTATTTTGGGTTAATTAATCAGGAATTTTGATTTAATCACGTGATTAATTTGTTTTAATTACTATTTGTGAAGATTATGCCACCTTAACTAAGTTTGGGAGAAAGATATGTAAATACATAGGAAATAAGTGGTATGTGTGTGAATTTCCCTATTTTTTTATAATAATTAATTGGCCTAATTGATTTTATTCTAATTTTTTTATATAAATTATTATCTTTAATTACCATTCACTTTATATTAAGCGTTACTTCTGACTAATTTAGGCTCACCTTCAAATAAGAGAGAAGTGAGCAATTTGAAAGCCTTTTCCCCTCTTCAACCCTTTCATTTTAAGAAAAGAGAGGCATTTACTCATTTAAATAGGATGTAAAGATTTTTTACATTTAGTGGATTGTTGTGGGTAGAAATGCAAAGAGTTTAGATAATGATGACATAAAATTTCATCAGTCTAATTGAATTTCTAAAAATGTTGGTTAAAGTGCCAAAATATTACTCACTATTTACATGGAATCGTTTTGGTTTCAAGGTTTATAGAAGTGTCAAAATAGTTCTCATATTCTTTAAATTGAGCCTTAATTCGTCCGCATGGAGCAATATTAAAGCTCAATTTTCAAACAGCCAGACACTATTTTGACATTTCTATAAACTCTGGACTAGACACATAACTAGGCACGGACTAGTTAAAGCCGAGCAACCTTCTTAACAAAATAGTGTCTCGTAGTTAGACCGAGTAATTAAATATGTGGGCTATAAACATTAAATTTAAATTGAATTTCAATATTTATAGTAAACTTTGTTATAAATACTGGATATATATATCCAAAACAATAATAAAAATTGATTGGATAAGCATATCCGGTGCCCATAAAGCATAGTTAAGCCACTTCTTCGCTTTCATTATCTTAAATCCAAATATTTGGATATTATTTTTGATAAAGACGCCTCCAAACATCTAATTAAAAACTAATTTTTTTTTTTCTACGAGCGCAAAGAACTGCAATCACTAGACACATAACTAGGCACGGACTAGTTAAAGCCGAGCAACCTTCTTAACAAAATAGTGTCTCGTAGTTAGACCGAGTAATTAAATATGTGGGCTATAAACATTAAATTTAAATTGAATTTCAATATTTATAGTAAACTTTGTTATAAATACTGGATATATATATCCAAAACAATAATAAAAATTGATTGGATAAGCATATCCGGTGCCCATAAAGCATAGTTAAGCCACTTCTTCGCTTTCATTATCTTAAATCCAAATATTTGGATATTATTTTTGATAAAGACGCCTCCAAACATCTAATTAAAAACTAATTTTTTTTTTTCTACGAGCGCAAAGAACTGCAATCAGCACAGGATAGATGATACATCTTGATCAAACCGAGAAGGCCGACTGAATAAGTTAACGGACGGCTCGCCAACCGGGGAGCAAGTGAAACGATGGTCCGACGAGAAAAAGATTCATTCAGCCACACTAATGATAATCTCGACGGTGACCGCGATCACATGGAGATAAAGAATTGCAAGGAAATTATAGACATTTCACAATGCAAGTTCTATTTACCATCAACATATAAACAATATTTGTTAAAATGTGATAATCAATAACTGAAATTGAAATAATAAATAACATTTAATTCTTGACTAATTATATCCTTTTATTGCACTTTGTTTATTAAGCTGAAAAATGATTTGAATAGTTCGTTGTTTAATGCTGAAAACACCTTCTCTTTGATTGAAATTGCTAGCTGGTTGGATGCCTTTAATAAGAATTTAACCTATGCTTTGTAATTTATGAGGGGATAAGAGCATTATTGTGGATGAAGAGATCCACTCATGCAATTTTTCCTTTTTTTTTTAAGAAATAGATTCAGGGATGTAATACTTATCCACTGTAAATCTATAATATTTGTTGATTTTAGCCTATATTTTTAGGGGTTATATTATTCCTAATATCTTGCTTAAGAGGTAAAAATAATTAATTAAGATGATACAAATTGATTGTCTAAATGTTATAGAAATTACAATGAAATTAAGATTTGTCTATATATGAATCTATTAAAGATATTTTTGTTAGATATTAGTTTGATAAAATTGCATGAGGTTCAAGAGATTTATGGTTATAGGGTATGAAATTTGTGCAAAATTTTAGGTATATGTAACAAGAATATAAAATTATAGTCTGAATCTGTTGAAATAATTCTACTAGACAGGTATTAATTATAAGGATTTGGTTGTTCATTAAATGGGGAAAGATGGGATTAGAATAGTATGGATTATTGGCTTAGCATGTAACAAGACAGAAATTATAGTCTGACTCTGTTGAAATAATTCTACTAGGGAGGTATTAATTATAAGGATTTGGTCGTTCATTAAATGGGAAAAGATGGGATTAGAATAGTATGGATTATTGGCTTATTCCCTATATGAGTGAAGAAAGAATGTGGTCGAATGATAGAGGTCCAACGGTGATTTGGTGATTGTCGTTGAATGACATAGGTTGAGCGATAATTATTAAAGGATTGTGATTGGACAACAATGATCTGAGTATAATGATTATATAGTGATGATCCGACGATGGAGGTTAGGTGGCGGCAATTCAACGATGTGATAGTTTGATTGCAATGGTCCAATTAGAATGATTGGATAGTGAGGTTGTAGTTGTTAGGTGGTGATCTGGTGACGAAGGTCAAACAGTGGTCCAATACCTGTAATTGGCGAGGATTTGATAAAAAATTCGAGTGGTGATCAGACGGCAGTGCTATAATAGGGCTTTAGAATCATTCGAATCTATATGTTCCCTCTAAGCTCAAGTCTATGCCTCCTCCATGTAAAAAACTGATGCATCGTGATCAACATACTTTGAGATTTCATTGCAACGAGCAGGATGTGACCGACTATGGTCGATGGTGGTTGGCGATTGATGGTAGACGATGGTCAGTGACTGCATGAGCGGGTGTTGTCCTTTGGACATT